TTTTTCTTTTTTTTTTTTTTTTTAGAGTAGCAGCTTATCTTGCTTATGATTGAGGGTCACCATCATTCTTTGTGATTTACACATTTTACACTCTTATTTGTTCTGTATAAAAGCAGATTACATATTTTATTTTGATTTTTTTTCATATATATATACTTTTCTTTTATATACAAAAATATACAACAGTTGGTGAAACTTTGGAGTAGAGTTTATTAATCCCATACTATATTACAACATTATTTTGTCAGATTATAATTTTTGTTTGTAAATTGCAGCTCTATTGTGAACAAAAGGCAAATTATGGCAGATTTTATTAACTTTCACTGTTCTAGTGGGAGACCGCTGAGGGATAGGCCTAAACTGTAGGGTTTACAAAACAATAGGCTGGACGGAAAGTACAGTTAAGGTGTGCACTTTTCAGCATTTTGAGACAACAAATTGTTGATTTGAAAACACATCCCACAATGCAATGCTTTTTGCTGTAACACGGTTTCAAAATTACAAATATTGCATTTATACAACACACATCTCTGCTAAGTAGTGTTAAAGGGTGTTATATAAACGGGCCCTTATTGGTCTCTATTGTATTGATTATTTATCCACCACCTCTGTTACACAACAAAAGCTTGTGCTAATAAATATTTGTTAGTCTATAAAGTGCTGCCTTTCATTTTACTGTGTATTATTATGTTCAAGCTAACATGCCTACCCCACCATTTCATGATATCACATCTACAGTAGTGTAACTGTCCTATGCTAAAAAAAAACAACTTTACATTAGTTTTATCATAATGTTGTCCAATTGAAATGTGGACGTGTGTGTGGCCTTTACTGGGTGGTCAGGCTAGTTCTTGTTGGACAGGTAATAACAGGTGTTGTTGCAGGCAGCGGACCTAGGACCTGAATAATCCTACCCCTGGTTGCATAGTTAAAATACTGTCAGTTTCGTTTTTGTAAAATACCGAAAGGTCTACTGATTAATCTCAGATAAGATAGTATAATACGTACTAGCAGTATCGAAGTACATCACTTCGTGTCGGGATTCAATATTTTGACATTAATTATGTCATCATCAGGAATCATCCTGATGATGATATCATCCCGATGATGACATAATGTCGAAATATTGAATCCCGATGATGACATAATTAATGTCGAAATATTGAATCCCGACACGATGGTGTACATTTCGATACTTGGAGTATGTATTATACTACCTTTTGTTTTTGTTTACAGTATTTGTAAATAAGTGCCTTTTGTAAGACTAATGTCGACTACAAGAAGCTGTATTATGGAATCTTTTTCTATAATGAAACTCAAAAGCTCGTTTAAAAATGACTTTTTTATACTGTTTATTTATACCACTAACTTGTACAAAATCTAAACTGAATTTCATCTAGGTCCAACAACTGTAACATACTGTAGGCATAGTAATAGCAAATTGATTAAACAAAAATGCATCATAGACACATTTAAACAATTACATTATATAATAGTTTTCTACCTGGAGTGTTTTTATATCACCTCTGGCTTATATCTTGAATGGACCTCTGCTGACTGGTCTACAAACATTACTGTACTCTACTAGCAATCCTGACAAACAAAAATAATCTAGTGGTATCACATAATTTCCAATGCCATACCAATCTACTAACATACATCATCATAAAATAAATCACATAGATCAAATTCACTTTGAATTTGTTTACTAAAGGATTTAGTAGGTTTAGTTTTCAATTTCAACTCAAATAAATACAAAGTTTCATTAATTGGACATCGTAGATAATTAATAATGATTGATAATCATCTATTTTAACAAGTTATAAATCATAAATAATCCAGTAAACATCTAAAACACTGCACTTTAACCTGTCCGATGGGCACAGCCATATAAATCATAATAATCCAGTAAACATCTAAAACACTGCACTTTAACCTGTCCGATGGGCACAGCCATGTCTGTTAATGTATATCGGTGCCGCCAGCTTTGTTTACCTAAAAGAGTGCTCCCAAACTGACATCCATAGATAATAGCCAGAGCGTCGTGTGTGCTAGACAATGCTGCTATAAAACCCTAACTCTAGGCTGACCGAAAGGAGTGAACTCGAAATCAAACTAACGACCAGTAGTAGAAAATTCTCCATCAATAAACAGTTACGATGCTTAAGGCATACATTGTCATCATAATAAAATGTATCATTATAATGTTATTATCACCTAACCAGAAATATAAATCTAGTGGCTATCATCAGGGTCAGTGAACCAGTGCAGCTTAGCACTACATTACAGTCACTGATTCAATCACATACAATTTTGTAGGCTCTAGGGCTAGTTATTATGACCAAAATATTACTTATAAACCCTATATAGTACCAATATAATGTAAAACTATGAGAAGTGTAAGTCCTCTATAATTATCAGTATCAGTTCATGTAAGCGTCAAAGACAATGCTCCTGTGAACTGTACTATTCACCACCGAGTTCCATACAAGAATGAGTGGGGAGGGCATGTTCAACATCTTTAACCTTAACTGTTGCATGGTGTAAACAGGTTTACTGAAAGAAATAATCCCAAACCCTCCCAACAATATAGTTTTAGTGTAATAATCAGAAATTAATAATTGCAAAAAAACGACACTGAAACCTACAGTAATGTAATTCCATAGGATACTAGCACAAATTTCAGAACATGTGGAGTTTGTCATCCCAAAATCAGCATGCCACTAATGGTTAAACTGAGTATTTAGCGTAAGAATGTGGAAGTATAGTATAGAGAAGCTGTAATACTCATAAATTTGGCAATAGAGTGTCAATTCCAGTATATGATTTCACTTTATTTACTGTATTGTTATGGTACGGTTTTCACGCCGCAAATTGGCTGTAGCGATCAAGAGGAAATAGTCATTAAGAAATCGTAGCTAGCAGTAGCTTTAATTACGAAAATGGGAATTCCGAGCTAAGCAATGCTCATCTGCAGTTACCAAATAACGTCCATTATTTGGTCTCAGGAACCAAATGGCGGCTGCGAAAAGGGTATGATTACCAAAAAATCGTCTTAGGAACGTAACTGCAGCTGCAGAGAGGGTATGAAATAGAAACAGGAAAACTATACCGGTATATGTTATGGATGGAGCTGAAAACTCGAGCTGGTCGAAAGCCTCTATTTTGACAATCTTTACAGCCAATTCATCAGTGTTCGTCAGGGGGAATTGTAATTAAATTATCGCAAAAAAAAGTACATTAGGCTCTATTGTCGTACCTACGTACGTAGACCTATTCATTGACAATCCCATGAAAAAATAACCACAGAAACTGACGACACAACCTACTG